TTGGGGGGGGGGGGGGGGGCGACCCTCGTGATTTGGGAGGGTGGGATCGTCACCGTGCGATGTTAATTCAATTGCCAATAGGCGCTGGGATTGGACCTGTTGGTGTCAAGCTTCTCGTGAGTCTCACGAGTTTGCCAAAAGCAGGGCAACTCCGCATCTCAAAAACAATGGCAACAGTAGCTAGCATGTAGTCGCGATAATGGTCTTTGTTTTTGTGGGGGCATTTTGCGGACACAGTTCGCACCGGAACAGAACCCAGCACCCAAACCACAGCGGGAGGAGGGGTGGAGTCTCAGCTTGAAATGCAGTGATCCGCATGACAGCCGGTGCTTCTGCCCAGGGGAGAACCTCACCAGAGTGAAGGCTCTCCTACAGGTACAGACCCAACAGTTCTAACAATTAGCTGCCTGCAACCATACCTCTGTAGAGCACAATGCAATTTGGCTGCTCAGCAGAGTGGGTGTGTGTGTGTGGGAATCGGGGGTTACAGCTCCTGCTTGGCTGCATGCTCGAGAAACGACACACAGACCTCAAGTTTGGAGAGAGGGCCGGTGTTTCTGCGTAGCCCAACCAACCGAGAACAAACCACACGCATCACTGCACAGAGGAGGGGCCCAGGGGAAAAGGAAGCCCAGAGTCCAAGAATGTAAGCTCAGGCATGCTCATGCCTGCACAGAGAAAACTGCGTGCTGCCATCACAACAGCTTTGCGGCAACACCGGCAGAAGCCGTACGTAGGTTTCGGGGTTGTGTCGGATGATGTGGCATGTTGCCGAGTCCTCTTTCTGAAGGCACTTGCTGGCAAGAAAAGTGTTGGCGAAATGGTTCACAGAAGCACCAGTAACCCTTTTTCTCTTGTGTTCATGCTTCAGGGCTGCTTGTGGTACTGTCACGCCCATGTAGTTTCAGCGTTCGCTTTGGCGCCCTGCCTTCCGAGGCGAGCGCCCCGCAAACGTCGGACCCAGCCCTCAAATCTGCACCACCACGCGAGTTCTTGAACAACACCGTCGTCCCGCAGTTGGCATCCGTGCCTTGGCCGTTCTAATCTTTCTAACAGATTCTACTTGCAAGAGGACTCCTCTGAAACAACAGTCCACGCATGGGACCAATCTGCAGGGTTGGGATTCTGTCGGCTGAGGCCCTGGTTGAAGTGAACAACAAGGGCTCCCGGCGCGTTGTCTCAGACCTAGGTGAGATTCTAATGAAGCAGTGACAAGACTCTGTGGCTGGACTCGAACATTGAAGAGGCCTTCCCAGTTTCACACCACGCATCAATGCGTCGGAGGAGATGTGCAAAATCTTGCGTCAAACAGCCAAAGGGCAGGGGAGAGATCCGAAACCAATTCTGAAAATGTAGCTAATATGTAGCCGGAGCTTCGTGAGAGTCGTGCTGACTATGAACTCCCATCGTTGCATAGTAGGCAACCGACAATGGAAACTCGAAGGTCCACAATCATCGTCTTAAATAGAATAAGAACAGTCTTGCGGAACCGTTGCAGGATGCATGTTTAGCCTCGCATGCCCCACAGCAGTTGTCTTTCAAGAAAGGTATTGGAGCCGTGATTCTTTCTCGTCTCGTCGGTGCAGCACAGGATGCATTCCTCGCGGGCCAGTTCGCCAGGAGTTTGACGCAGTGGGCTGAGTTGACTGCGCCATTGCGCACCCGAGACCTCCATGTAGCGACAGGGTTGGCGACGCATCGTCTTGCAAGCCGCAGCACGCAACGAAGTAATAGATCGCTGTTTCGAGGCAGATCAGGCAGCTGATTGCCCTTCGAAGTCTAAGCCCGCAGGCCGCCTGCATGAGACGTGGATGTTGGAAGCAAGGATGTAAAGATTCTGAAGAGAAGTTCCATTCTGGGGGGCCAGAACCGATGGGGAACACCTCTGCACTCGGTTCTACCATGCTTCCTACCGTGCCTATATTAGAGCTTGGGCGAGGCAGGGACTCCTGGCACCTGGGACACTCCGGCAGATGGCTCTCTGCCCGAAGAGGTGCCTCCTTTGTCGGCAGTTCATGTGCTCTGGACGGGATGCGCGGCCTCGGCCGGGGCCAGCATGCCGCTTCACGGAGGCAGGCTCAAGACTAGCCTGGAAATAACCCTCTTCTTCCCACATCTTCCCTCTGCTTTTTCATAAGACAGCTGCAACACATCCTTCACAGCCTCAAGCACCTAAGGCATCATGTGCTGAGCCATCGCGACTTCCAGCACACAACTCTAGCATACTCTAGCACGCTCGTTTTACTCCACGGGCTCTCTCAGCGACATGTGGCGCCATGGAGACCCGGGTTATCGGCACAGGTGGAATCTCAGCGGCAGGTGATCCTCATCGAGGCTTTTGGAGGAAAGTTGATCTGAAACACCTTGTACGAGAGGCCGTGACTACTCTTCAAGTCATGAAGATTCGCCATGTAATGCAGAAGAGCCCAGTAGTGCAAGTACTGTCTGCACATGAATCTTGATGCCTCTCACGTGCGACCTGATCAGCACCGCCGGCCTGAAAGCAGGAAGATCTAAGAAATTGGGCGACATTCTTGTAACTTCTACGCCACAGAAAGTCCTGGACAATTTCCGCGGGCTATCCAGTCAATCCCCATCAAGAACATGTCGAAACCAGGTTCTCAGCCTGCTTCTTGTGCCTGCTCCCAGGCAGGCCTCTTGAGATTGGAATGGATGGAGCTTTTCATCTCCAATAAACGTACGGGAGAGCACTCAGACTCAGAGCACCTCTCTCCCTCTCTATTCCACTTGTGCTTGGAGTTGCTACTCCTGAAGAAGCATCGTATCGGAGTCTTTCCAGTCAGACGGGCATGGCTTGGCGCAGGCTCTGCGACAGAACTTTCCCAGGAACTCTGCGGTGGAGTTGACACTTCAGTCGCTGGGAGGAATGATGTTCCACCGATTCCTATTCCTATTCTTGGCAATGTTTGCCAACCCACTGCTATCCCTGGCACAGGCCGAAGCCAGTAGTCTGTGTTCTCATGTGAGTATGGTTCAAGGAAATGTTCTGAAATGGAAATAGGTTGAGGCCACATGACATGCTCTCCGGTATGCCAACTCAATGCAAAATAATGCACACCTTCGCATGTATGAAAATGAGCACGAAAATCTTGCTTCAAGCGAGTTCTTGCCAACCATGTAAAAGGAGTCTAAGCTGCCATGTCATCAATCCACCAATGACATGCCTTAGAGCCTTGGAGTGCACTGTCAACTCGCTGTGAGATTTGAGGCCTGGATCTCACCATCATGGCGATCACGAGGCTACCATGTTCTTTGTTTGGCCGCGGGCCTCTGCAGCGAAGGCGCAGCCCATCGCGTTCGTTTCCTCATGCCCGCTGACAAGTGCTCAAACCCGGGCATGCTAAATTTAATGTAGCTCCTTTGCTTGCAGGCAGCATGGAGTTGCAAGCACTGATGACATTGCTGATTCAGATCTTTCCGGCCGAAGGCAGCGACGAGGGCCGGTGTGCTGCTAGCACTCGCGCACAGGCCAGCATGCTGCCTGCAAACTCAAACTTTCGAAGGAGAAGTCGTCGTCCCACGAATCGGATTCCTGTTTACTCCGTACTCTAGTTACTACGCTGTCCCTCTCGGGGCAGCTGGCGCAGGTTTGTTGGTCCGGCTTTCTTGGCGCCCCTGGACAGCAAGCAAACAAGCAGGGAAAGGGTCGGTCAACGTGGCTTGAGACTTCAATCCTTGAACACCGAGGACTGCGAGGACAGAAGCTGGTTTCGAGCTGGCAGTGGGCGGATCAACAGTAACAGCTCCCTCTACAAAGCTTGGTCTTTAGCCATGGCCACGAGCGCTTACATGTTTGAGACACACATGTCTTAGAGTCTTAGATTCAGAATGCCAATTCCAGAAAGCATGTTGCAGCTGACTGCCGCTTCTCTTGGAGGATTTGGATGACCTTCCACCTGAGCTTGCGAAACAGGGAAAACAAGGACGGTGCCGCCGGTCCGCAGAATCAGATACCGTGGAAGTCGTTTCCAGCTCCGGTGGCACAATTGGTTTCTCTTCCAAACATGAATTGTATCCAGAGGACTGGTTGCACTTCAGGACCTGTTGATGGCTCGAGCCCCAGACTGGGCTCAAAGACGAAAGTGGGCTCTGCATCGTCTTGAGTTGCTGTTGAGATCTGTTGAGCTTCGTTCAAGTCAGCATCAAGGGCTCACTTTGCAAGGGTTTGATTGAGATGAATTGGGATAGCACGTGTCATGTGCAGGCAAAGCGTCCTCCGAGCAATCGGTGGAGATACGATGCTCTCATGAAGGACGGGGCAGGGACGCTGGTGAGTGTTACACCTGCAACGAAGCACGCGCATGTCCTTCGCACACCCCATGTGCAGACTGCTGAAGGGACATGTGTTGCTGAGCACTACTGCACGTGGGACGATCGGCGGAAATGACCTGATTTTTGAAAACTGCTGCTCTTTTCCGCAAGCTTTCCGGCACAAGCAAGCGCTTGCTTGGATGGCTGCAAAGACTCAACGGTTAATGCGACCTCGAGGCCTGATTTTTCGTCTCAGGGCTACGAAACCTTTGGCGAGTCCATCCAGTCATGGTCTTGCTGCCGTGGCATTGCAGTTGCTGCAGCTGGAGACTCGCGATTCAGACTTCCCATAGCAACCTGTGAGCTGTCGATGTCGATCCTTAGAAACGGTTGGTATATGATGCGGAATGTCGCGATGAACTTATTACCGAATGGACCGTCAGCGTTTGATGGTGCAGCCCAAGACATGCTAGGCCTCCATGCAGTTCAGAGCTGTCCGGCCTGTTGTCTCAAGACCACCTCCTGATGGTCGGGAGGCTCGGCACCGCCATCGAAGCACAGAAATCCAGAAAGCGGCACATTTGCTTGGTTTGCAGGCTGACATCTCCGATGCCTCTGCTCAGCGACAGAAGCTAGTGGTATTTCGCGAGCAGTGGAAGGCGAAGGCTCCACACAGACCTTGCCCTTCTCATTCGGCCTCAGTTGCTTTGACGTGCAGAGGGCCATTCTGTATTGCTTCGGTGTTTCTATGCCAAAAGTGCATTCAGCATATCGTCGCATAAGCCCGAACACCGTTGCTGGGAGTCGCTGAAACTTTCTGAGCACTGCTCCTGAGAGCCGTGGAAGTCTGCATTGGCCGACAGGTGCTAGCCAAACCGGAGGATGCAGCGGCCTTTGCACGGCTTGGTGAGGTCTGTGCACAATTGGATGAGGCCCCCGCATTTGCCATCGACCTGTCGGCCAGCTGCAGGGGCTGTGTTAATCTTTTCCTTCCCCTCGAGCAGGTGGATGGCCTCTTTCGGTTCGGACAGCAGCTGTCGGCGCAGCATGCGGAAGCTTGGCGTCCGGCAGCGGCGACCTTGAAGGCGGGTCGGCCAACTCTACCCGAATCTCCCTTCCCCCACGGCTAAGTGCACTGCGATTCCCGACTCGTTCAACCTCGCCTGGTCACCAAAACATCCACTCCTGAAGTTGCAAGAGCCAAGATGTCAGACTTCATGTGCTGCCATGTCTACAATGCGCTCTCCCTCAACTTCAACAGAGCCATCCTTTCAACTTTCAGTAGCTGCCAGTAGCTGGCTTTGAACTGGTACCTGTCACGGGAAGGTCCTCGCCCCGGACCGAGCGGAGGAGATGAGAGTGGAAATAGCGTAGCACGTGCCAGCTGCCAGCGGGTTGGGCATAGCTTGAGCAGGACCTCCTCTTAGGCGTGCTCCACCTCCCGAATTTGGACAGCCGGGGTCGCGCAGAGGCCGCTTGCAAACATACGAGATGTGACCCTTCGAGCATGACCTGTTGAGCCACGCAATATCTCATCTTGAGCGCAGCAAACCCCGGAGAAGCCGAGGCATGCAGCCAATTAGGCCAGCTGCGGCCGCAGGCAAGATTCAAGTTCCGACTTTCTTGAAAGAAGCCGCTTTGGGGGTTGAGGCAGCTTGGGGCAGGAGGTTAAAGATGAATGGGTCTATAGCCGACACTATGACTTGCACCATCCGTCAGAGCCACAACAAGCCGATTGGGCCAAGCAACGCTCCCTTGCATGCGCCTGCAGGAAGCAGAGAAGTGGTATCGACAGGCCGAGCACTTGGTTTGAAATATGGCATCGTGGCATCTCTGCGAGTGGACGGGCACCGCAGGCGCTGGCATGGGACCCCGACAGCTCTGCCGCGGTGCGACTGGCTGAGGCGTTTGGAGATGGCATGTGCTTAAGCCGTAGGTCATTCTTCACATCTGTGTGCTAGCTTCGTAAGACTGGTTGACCGTTGATTGCTTCTCCATCTTCCCCCGGAAACGTCCCAGCTCAGAAGCGAACTGCAAGAGATAGAAAAACAGCGGACATGTCCTCAAGTTTAAACTTGACTATGCGTCAAGGTAACCTCATCAAGGATGGCCTAACCAGCAGTGGGGATGTCCGTGTCTTGCGGCTGGAGCGGTCAACTCCACCGCGGGATCTTCTAGGACCTAGGAATACCTAGGATGTCGGGTGTTTGAATCTCACGCCCAGACCCTGGGCGAGTCCGGGCGCCTCGCCGAAGCAGCGGCCACCTGGCCTGGGGGTTTGCAGCGGGAGGCTGTAAGCTGCACTATGTGGGGATGCAAGAATCTGCTGAATGCAGAGGAAGTGGCAAATCCAAGCAGAGTAGAATGCATGATCTGTCTCTGCATACTTCGAAGGGAGCCACAACCGATTGCTCGACCCAGGAGATGTTTCAAGTGGCAGGCATGAAGCACGAGCTCAAGCCTCACCATCTTTTTCAGTACGGCGAGGCACGGCTTTGGGAAATTACATATGTTGAGATAGGTTGACAGCGCACGGCAGGTTCGAACACGACTGAAGAGTATACTTTGAATATCTTGGAACCGCCCACGAAGTCCTCTAAGTTTCCTAGCCCCGCCCCTCCCCCCGCTCTCCCAGCCAGCATCAGAATCCTGCAACACCAGTTGCTTACCAACGCACTTGTGCAAGCTGATACGCTGCAGTTTGCTTCAATCTGCGCGATAGGCGCTGGTCCTATCCGAGCAGTTTGACTCCGGCCGCGCGCTGCTTCGCAAGGCGGCTGAGGCGCGGCGCAGGCGTTGCCGGTGTCTAATCTGCACCGACCACTTTCGGCACCTTTCAGCTAAGCCTGGGCATGTGCTCGAAAGGCTGATCTGTCTCTGGCTGCCATGGCGCATGCATGCATGGCGGCTTAGCTGCAGCTCTGCAAGGTTCTGTCCAGAAAGAGGCTCGCTGCACTGAGGCTTTGAGCTATCTTCTGCAGCAGCAGATCAGCCTGGCCACGGACTGCTGCCATCAGGCGGCCATGCAGCCCTAGAAAGTGAGCTTCCTGAGTCAAGTCACATGGCGATGTTTGCCGATTCAAGACTGCAGTTTCAGCCAGGCCTTGCAGAGACCAACTGCAGCAAACACGGAGGCTGCAGGGACTGCGGGATACTGGGACCCTAGCATGGGACAGGACTGACAACACAGAATGCACAGACATGACTATTCTGCCTTCACAAGGCCTTGCACCTGGCACGTTTCTTGAAGAGCTTCTGCCACCTCCGCAACTTTGATGTCGAGGCGGCTTTGGAAGCCGTGCCTGCCTGAGACGACCATCGGCATGCTTGAGCAGGCATTCTAGTCGTCGGCGTGCTCGTAGGCTTTGCTCTCGCCGACTTTTCAACTGAGGTTTCAGAAACGCTGCAAACGTGCGGTGGAGAAAATCCACTGCGGGAGAGCATGGAAGCTTTCAAGGTCCGTCTGCAGGCGCATAGTGCGAAACAGCGAACAAACCGGCGGCCGAAAGGACAGTTCAAGGCTTTGCCAGTGCGGTAGTAGCGAGGATGCTGGCCGAGTCCCAGCACATGCTAGCTGCTCACAATGCTAACAACGAGAGCGCAGACAGAGATGCTGCGCAGGCGATGCAGCCCAAGCCTGGACAAGCAGATGTCATCCAAATGGCTGACAACTTCGACACGCAAACCACTGCAGCTGCTCGTCACATCTTGCACCAGACAGTCCAGAGGATTCTGCTAAGACTTGAACTGAGGCTTTCTTGCATCTCACACTTGGCCAGTGGGACGACGCCGAAGAAGTGCTACAAAATGTTTCGCGTCAGCAATTATTGCATGGCAACGGCGATCTTTTATCGGCCTTTTGCATGGTTGATCTACCAGTCAGTGTTTGGCATTGTCCCGTGCATTGACTGCATGTAGTCATTGCATGTCATTGCTAGAGGAAACAGTGAGGAAGCATTCCTCGCCAAGCCACGCGAAGTGCAGACTTCAAGCCGCTTCCTTGTCAGGTTTTGCAAGGCGACGGTTGCTGCGCCTGAGCTCAACCCTGGTTTCAGAAATCTCGACGTGCGTGCGTTGTTTTCTGTTTCGCCGAGGCCCGGAGGCCCTGCTGATGCAAGCGCAGCTTCTACTGAGAGCCTGGGCAGAAGTCCTCGTTGCTCGTTGCGAGATGGCCAGATCGCATCATCTGAGGGCAGAACAAGTTTGGCTGCGCCATTGAATACCTGCAGAAATGCTTGCGGCAGTCCTTCACTCTTCTCTACAGCAGGAGCTGGCGCCTGCAGTCTCACAAGCACGCAACGATCGGGCAAACCAAGGTAACCAAAACCGCATCGCCGTATCGTTTAAATTTAGCATACCATATGTCGCAGACATGATCCAGTCATGCCAGGAGGGAGCAGGTGCTGGTCCATTTACTGTCATGCCTTTGCTATCATCGCCGTGCATCAGGCCTTTCAATCATTCATCTGTGCAAAATCAAGATCTCGGATGGGAAGCACACCTTGCCTGCTCACCAGCAGGTGGAGATGCGTCTATCTCCAGTGTGGACAGGAGCGAAGTCCGTGAAAACTCACCACGACTGAGCGAGGGCAGCCCTGTCGCAGGTTCGGGCGGTGCCTAAAGTAACAAGCCCACTCACGCGGTGTTACACTTTTGCTTTTTTGAACCGATCTCTGCTTGATCGTCTGCCACGTATTGCACAGTGGCTTGCCTGACCGGCTCGTGCTCCATTGCTTCGAGAGGTCAGTGGCGCGCAAGCCTGATGCGCTTCCTCACGGGATGCACCGATGACGCAGCAGACTCAGGTTATGCAGCGAGCAACGCTGCGAGAGAAGGTCAAGAAGCTGGACCGCCACCAGGAAAGAATGATCTCAACACTGCCTCAATGCATTTCGCATCGGCCATTGAAGTGGAGCCGCAAGTCAAAGATACTATAGCGGCATGCACAGATGCAGTCAACCTCACGCTTCTGCTTCGCAAGCGAAGTCTTGCCATCGAACTGGATGCTGAAGAATCCGGTATTCTCTTTCAGCACGCTCTGAATTCACCTGCAAGTTCTGAACGAGGCGACCTATTTGCCCCGCCAAAGATGCCAGCGCTCGTGGGTACTGCCTCTACGGCCATGCCGGCCAGCGACAACCCTTCTCGCCAGAACTCTGAGACTCAACTTACAGTCGTTAACGACAGCAACACTCCACCCACGATGGAAAGCATTTCGCGGACTCTCTCGCAAGACCGGCTTCTGAATTTCGCAGAGCTAGAGTTTGGCGAGCTTTTGAGCAGAGGCGAGATCACGATTGTGCAGAAAGCTGTGTACCGCGGTTTGCCCGTGGTAGTGAAAGCACTCCACTACGAAGGTTCTGCATCCAGCTGTGAGGCTGTGGAGGATATGCTGGCTGAGATTAAGATTCTCACAAAGCTCAACCACCCACGACTGGTGCCACTGGTTGGGGCATGTTTGGAAGCTACACAGCTTGCTTTGGTGACTCGGTTAGCCCCGGGTGGAAATCTGCACCATGCACTGCACGTGCGAAGGCACAGTTTCAGCAGGGAGGTTTGCTTTCAACTCGCGATGGACTGTTTGGAGGGCGTGCGCTATCTGCACTCCCTGCAACCACCCGTGCTGCACCTGGATTTGATGCTCAGTCGCGAAAGGGACATCGGGATCGGGGCTCCTCTGGCGTTGGCAGTGCAAAACTGCCAGGGATCAAGGGTGTGAAGCATCCTCGAGTTCGGATGCTTGCAAGGCGTTTTCAATTGGCCCCAACGAATCCTGTAATTAAGGAAGTCAATGAACCTGGTGCTGGACGTGGATATGCAGCATCTTCAAATTTGACGCTTGGCCGGATCATCGTGTGTTCCGAGTCGAGAACTTGGGGGTTACGTGTGCGTTCCGACGGCTTTCGAAGCTGCTTCAAAAACCCCGTACGAAGCCAGCACTCGGCCCCACGTTTGATTCGTTATGAGCATCCTGAACCGTGTCTACATGTTGCATGGGAGCCTGAAGCATTGAAGGCGACTTCGGCCTTTCACGCTTGGCGGGTGCAGTACGCCGTGGGCTGGGCCGAGGCGGCTCCCCAAGGCGCAGCGACAGGATCAGTCAGGGATCCCAGAACAGCCATCAGAACAGTCGTAGTTCTCTATGAAAAGCTAAAGGTAGATGACTTGCAGCAGGTGCAACCTGGAAGGCCTCAGCTCTCACAATGAGGTTGCAGCGCATGTCTGTCGTACAAGGGGGTTACTGTAGTTGATTGGAGGAAATTGCTAAATGCACGAGTGGGACACCTGCACCCTGCCTCGCGGACTGTCGAGGCGAAAAGTTGTAATTAATCAATATCAGTTGGTAATAGTTTTGTTCCGACAACCTTTCCTGGCAAAGCGAAGCCCGCTATACATCCATGGAAGGTACATGGCGCCAGAATGCTTTGACGAGCAGCTGGGCGCGCAAACTGAGCCGCTAGGCAGCAGCCAGGGAGCTGACTGCCGCCCCGAATTACGCCAAGTGCACATCAACGAACCGGTTCCGTGTAGAATGGTAGCAGGAGGCTCCAGGCTCCAGCGTGCACTGCTTTGTGGACCATCTCAGGAAAACCGACGTTTGGCCACTGGCTAAGTGAACCTTGCGACCGGGGCGTGTGTGGAGAAGGTTTGAATGACAGCATGGCGAAGACGCTGCACGTCTTGCGAACGGTGATGTTTGCATCCACGGCAAGATCAGCACATACCGAGGTCTTCAGCCTGCATTCTGCTGGAGATCTTCGGCCAATGTCAGCCCTACGCGGAATGCAGCCACTCGGCTTGCACAGAGTATTGAACAAGTCAATTCCTCAAGTTAACGACAATTGGGCCTTAGTTGAAGTGGCCCCGAGGTAATGTTCAGCAGATCCTGAACATGCTGCTTGTGCAGCAGCTGCCTCCACCGCTGCCCGACAATATGGAGGACACGGGCCATTATATTTGTTTAAGGTTTCCGTCTTGATGCACGACCATGCATTCTGCGCCAAGCAACTCTAACAAGGTGAAAGGACACGGCTATGCGGGAGCCAAAAAAAATTCAAAAAAACATAAGGTAAAAGCTGCCCCAAGGGTGACCTGCAAAAGCCAAGCTTCGGTGCAGGCTCGCATCAAGTCTGTGATTGCCTACGCGCTGCAGTACGAGGCCTCCCAAGGGACGGATCGGATCGCAGTCTGCCGCAATTGCAAGCACAAGGCGTCCAGAATTCGCCTTACAGTGTAATTGCTACACGAACAGAGTGTGGCAGACTCTGACGGCGGGAACTTCTTGCATTTTCATTTCTTCTGACACCAGTCACAGATGCAGCAAGACACAGCAGACGCTCCTTACGCACCCTACTCAAACCTTTGCCGCCCGTCTTCGGAGGCTGCAGCGAGGCCACAGATTGGCCAGCTGCTGCTGCAACTGCAGCATGCAGCAGAGCATCCGCAACAGGACAGGGTGTGATATAAGATTATCTGACTTGGGAGGCGACCTTCCACTCTAAAAGCGTGCATGCTGAGATTCCGTGGCAGGTGAGCAAGTCGCGCTTTCAATGGATTCCATAGCTGCTGGCTTCTTCGATGCATGCGCTGGAGCCGGCATGACTTGACCGCCTCATTCTCTCCCATCAAACCGGTTCCTTGTCGTGTTCGGGAGATGCGAGCTGTCAGGTTCCGCAGATGCAAGCTGTCAGGCCCCAATGAGAGCCGGACCAGTGAGTCAAAGGCTCCAGATGTCGGCACCTGGCCAGTGTTCGCACAAAGGTGCAGGCGTTTTCCCAGATTGCCTTTGATGACAAGTGGACGGCTGGGCCAGAGCGGCCTCAACTGAGGACAGCAAAGCATCCCTGACAAATCCTTCACTCAGGCTACTCTTTTAAATGCATGACAGTTTGAATCGGCAAGTCGCCGCAGGACAAGTCTTAGCTCAGTTCCAGTCAGGCCTCACCTTACGGCAGTTCCAGTGACACGCATCGAGCTGGCTCAATAGCAGCTGTTCGTGTACCCGGGCCTGACAAATGTGTCTGGACATCCGGAACCCCTGCCCGGACCGTTAGTGAACATGTGCGAATATTACAGTAAGTAGTATCAGGGAAGGTTACGCTTTCGACGGGTAGCACGCCCGGGCACCCGAGGGCACACAGACTTTCAGGTGGCCAACTGCAGCTGCTGCTTACATGTCTGACTGCTAGCACTCCTTCTACCTCAGGCAGTCCCTCTAACGATTGATCTTGGCTTAGACATCTCACAATGCAAATGTATCGGTGCGACGGCAATGGCTGCGCAAAAAATCTTGGCTGTCTGCGCATGATCCAAGAGTTGCTTTTTAGTTGTCGCTCGCTCACCTGTGTGAGGGGCGATTGAAGCAGAACCAGTTACTGCTCAACATTGCCGTCTTTGCTGTGGAGGCATGAGTCCGGCAAATTTGCGCCAAGTAGTCCGACTTCGACAACAGTCCCTGCTGCTGAGGAGAACCGACGGGCACCTCGCCGGCTTGAATCTTTGGAGGGAGTATCTGGTGGCTCGGCTGTCGAATTGACAGAGACGATATCGGGAGCAACTGCGTCCACTGAACACGCTCAGGGATGATACTTGTTTTCGAGGGGGGCGTGTTCGTTTGGCCAGGCCACTGGCCAGATCCGTGAGCGCCAGTGCTTCCTTCCGTTTTGACGGGCATGTCACACAATCCTGAGCACTGCTTGGGCTTGGGCAGGTGTAGAAGTTGGTTTCCGGCGCAATGTGACCATCGAGCCAAGAGCTTGGCCCTTCGTGATGGTTACTGCAAGGGGCCCTCGAGATGTCTGTCTGCATTGCCACGGAGCACTTGTGAGCGCTTGAAACATGAAGGCCCAAGAAGTCAGAGCCGCTCAGTCTGGAGATAGAGACACGCAGCTTGGCAAAGACAAAAGCCACGTCGTTGCCAAAGGTCTTGTAACAAGTGCTTAGCCATGGCACACTAACGCTGCTGGATGTCACCGTGGCGCTGCCCCGGGGAGTTGTGCCTCCCAAAAACGACCCCAGGAAGCTTGCAACCTCTGGTGCTCGAAATATCATCGTTCCTGAACGATGCCGACTGCCAGCATGTTATTGACAAGGCCAGGACTTATAGGGGTATCGTGGACTTCCCGGTGCGTAATTTATAAGCATAGATATGTGCAGCATGATGTTGCAAGGCGCTGCCGCATGTCGAAAGGTCTTCGGTGAAGCACATGGATCACGAGGCTTGGCGGCATGACTTGGTTACCTCATCGAAAGGACAGCTGCTGGCAGCGCCGCATTTGCTTAGCTTTGTGCTTTCTGCCGAGCATAGGACATCAAAGTGGATGGCTGCTGTGCTGCTGAGGATGTCGGCAAGCCGGATGCTAACTGGCGAACCAGCAGCACCTACTTCATGCAATCAGATGATGCTTGACGCAAGCAGAGAGCACGAGCATGGCGCTGCAGAAGGTCTGCAGTGGTCCTCATGGGTGCATCATCTGTAGGCCGCTGGTTTAACCGATTGTTGTACGAGTGCCGAAAACACAGAGAGAAACACGAGATGCTGACTGCGGCATGGGTCCAACCTTCGTGTGGCGGGTGGTAAACACAGTACTGGTAGCTACAAAAACACAAGGCAGATGCAGTCTCGTTAGGCTCGGACTGTCACTGTAATTCCATGAGTTCAGAGGACGACACGCTGCACCGCCTGGACGATCGCGTGAGTGCTCTGACGCTGATAAAGAAATCGCATCAGGACAGCTCAACGCATGCACTCTGAACGTCAAGGCGACGATGCAGTAGCTGTCGCAGGTTTCGTTTGCGTAGCCACACTCATGGTACGGTTCCGAGTATTGGGTCGGAGATTATGCGGCTCACCCTTTTGCGGGCATACACAAGCCTACACTGGTTCAAAGCTGCTAAAAGTCTAATCCTTCCGGTGACTTGATCGAGCACTTTAGAGTTAAAACATCCCCTAAACGGTAGACGACGACAAACGCGCTTACCAAGACCACTCTGGCGGTAGGGTTTGTAACACGTCGTAGTCGCATACAGTGCCAGAGCCACACACTTGCAAGTTGATCAATTGGAGATGATTGCGCTGATCTGCAACAGCCACGGTGAGGATGATGACGATGATGATGATGGTCACGAGAATGAGATTGACGTTATTGAGGCGTGCTTCACGTATGCCAGAAAAAAGACTCACATTACCAGGATAGACACGCATCCCCCATTCCTGGCCCCCTGCGAAAAGCAACTGAAGAGCGTGACAGCCCCGTGCCCAGGAACGAGGACAGCACACACGCAAGAACGCGCACACACACACACACAGTGACCGAGATGGCAAGTTGCCGGAGCCAAGCACATTAGTGTGAAGCCTTCTTGCCTGGCTGGCAGCTTTCAGTCAGTTAGCTTTACACTCGGCGCAGAGAGGAGTACTCCCAGATCTTGCGCTATGAGAGTCTGGGCAGCACTTGCGCGAGTTTGGAAAAATGCCCTTACGTATCCTCGTGCTCGCAAAACGTGATAAGCCTTTGTAAAATCCAAGCAACCAGTGCCATACCATTGCCGAAGCCTTGAAGCGCACGGGTGCCTGCTGCAAGGGAAGGAGAGCAGTATGTTGCAACCTGGCTGCAGCTTGTCAACAGCTGGTGCTCGCTAGGTCAGTCATGTGACGGAACATTAGGCAGTAGAGTTGTTAGATGCTTGTAGGCTGTCTGCGAAGAACCGTAGTGCCCTGAAGTGGCAAGTTGGGCTGAGCTTTGGTCTTGAAAGTTGAGCTGTGAATCGTTTCCTCCCCGGCACCAGAGTCGTCGTCCGGGGACTCTGTTTTTTGCTTGTTTGCACTGGCTCCAGTGCGGGTCCTGTGGAATTCGGTCCCAAGCTGATGGGGCTGTTGATGGCGGACAGAGATCCTTCCGTGAAGCCGTCAGAAGAGGGCCATTTTCGAAAGCACATGGTCATGTCTTTCAGCTCATGGACTACTCTTGCCGAGAGCTGTTTGGGCCTGCCACTGTTCACTTCACCAAGGCGCACCATGACTACTTCGACCCTGCCATGTACAAGAACAACAGAAACATACAGGACATGATCAAGAAGGGTCTATACAACAGCGACTTGATTGCAGCTTCTTGTTCAGAGCGCTGCTGGGGAAACTGTCCTGCACTGCCCAGGATTAGCGACGGTGTTTTTCTACCTGTCCGATGTGGAGGAAGGCGATGCTCATACATCGTTCTTGACCTTCTCTTTTGTGCTAGAGCTCTGGGCCTCTTCGCGAGGCGGGCAGACAAATTTTCCACGCGCTGGGGGGCGGCGACAGCCGCGTGACTTCGCGGACTGCTCTAAAGGAGTATCCGTTTTTCCCAGGCCACACTGCAAGCTTTCGATTTCACTGCATGAGGTGCCTTTTGCTTTAGACAGTTTTGCTTTAGACAGGCGTGGGCGCATCATAATCTTCTACTCAATGCACCCATCCGGTGAGATGGACGAGGCGTGTCGACATTCGGTTGGAGGACCCGGCAGCCTGAACTTTGCTCAGATACGACATGTTTATGCTGCTTGCGCAGCAGCAGAAGCGCCTACGAGAAGTTGCAGCAGCGCAACAGAACTGCGGCAGGCCGCCACTTGTCACAACACCGTATGTGAAGCAACTCGGAAGCTCTGCTCGGCCAGAAGAGCAGTAGGCAGTGAAACTGGATCCAGCAAGGTGGGAAACGTGCAAGATGGTGCAAGGTTCGAGGAGCAAGGCTGGTAATGGCCGCTGTAGGGTCCTCCCCTGATGAGCCCTGAAGTAAGAGAAGGATGTGCCTTGGATTTCCTGGGAGTGCCTGGAAAGAGAAAAGGGCTGTGGTAGCTTTGTAAAGACAATATGCTTTGACATGCAAACGCTGCTGCCCCGTGGTCATGCTGAGTCATACTGTAATACTGTGACGCCAGAAAGTGGATGTCTCCATGATAGTGTAGATGACATCGAGAGACCGCCGAGGGCAGACCTGAAGTGCGACCTGAAGTGCCCTCTTTGGGACCCTGAACCCAGACCGGCCGTCGACTTCCGGTTTTGGTTGCGACACCTGTCCCCTGTCAGACATCCCTCCATGCCGGTTGTGTGGTGAAGCGCGGCACAAAGTGGTCAGCCAACAAGTGGATCCTCGGAGACATCGGAGACGTAAAGTGGTGAAATGTTCGGGTCACCGGCAGTGTTGCATGTTCAAGCTGGGGGGTATACAACCGTGCGACGATGCTACCTGCTGCTACCTGTTGCCAGTCTAAGGATCTGGAACAAGCCCATGGGCTTTACGCTCGAGTGAGACTGAGCAGGCGGACGTAGGACGTAGGAATGGAATTATTTAATTGGATGTACCGTGTACCCAGACGAGCGCGCATTGGAAAAGCTCTATGCTGGTCAGAGATGCAATGCAGAGCTGGCATCTCGCATGGAGAGGAAACGCGATGGCGTCAAGCTTCAGTTTTGTCTCTACTTTAGGTGAGTGAAAGTTACATATATTGTACATGTGTTTTGACTTTGCTCTCAGCTGCATCCTTTATCCCGTAATACTATCCTTCGGATGCTCACTTCAGGAAGCACGCAGCTGTGCAGAGCATTTATTCGGGCAGCTCGAAATATGAACCCAAAATCTGTGAGCCGAATCTGGAACCTTGTTTTGTAGTTTGTCTAGATGTGCCGCATGCGGAGCCAGTGGCTCGTTCCAATGTCAAGAGACCTGGCTGCAAGTTTGTCCGATCCGCACGGCAGGCGCAGCTGGGCTTGCCTTCTTCGCACACGATGCACCTTGGCCACTCCATGCTGAAGGCGCATGGAAGCAAGCACTTCCGCTCAAGTTTCGCCAATCCACCGGGGTGATCGTAGCTGTGCTGTACTGCCGCCATGTGTTCATCTCCAATCTGCTCGACGCTCTTTGGGATTATCAAGTAGTAGCTCCGCCGGCAGGCGTTTGCAGATGGTTACTGCGCTACGGACGCCACGAAGCGAAGTCCTTATAATCCTTGGTGTGAAAACTCGGTTGCATCCAACAGATCCAACAGACGTTCCGTGGTCAAAGCGCGAAAGGGTTGTGTTCTGAGGCCTCCTCAGACCCAGGAGCTCGTTGTAAACGCTCAGGCGCTCGCTGGAGCGGCTCAGCAGCAAGTTCGGTGGCCCTTTGCACAGCGTCCTCGCCCTATGGCCCTGGCAACCCTGCACGGCAGCCGAGGCTGGTCCAGCTCTCGCACAGTTGCTCGGCCGCAAGACATTCCCGTTTTTTAGACCGGCCCACAGCACCTTGGAGTCTTTCGATCGAAGGCTGGTCAGCGAAATGCCAGGCTTGCCGGGAGCTCAGCTCCACTCAGATCGATGGCTCGCATTGTGGAAACTGTGCATAACCCAACTCAGGCGGTCATTGCGCCTGCTGACGGCCTCAAACCCGAACAGGCCTCAGATGCTCAGAGCCGGATGAACCACTGCATGCCTCAATCGCCGGATGGCTGATGAACTGATCGCTCCGCTGCGTTGCTTTTGCTGTTAGCATCTCCCCATCTCCATTTAGCTGCACTGGCAAAGATATTGCGCACGCCATCCACCGAGAGGCGGCAAGAAGTGCATTTGGTCTCAGGCCGAGGCCAGCAGGCCTGCGCCGTGCAAGCTCGCCTGCACAGCAAGCCTGCAGCAGCGGACAGGACCGACTACACGCAGCTTGTGATGTTTGAACTGGGCTTGGCTCACGTATCTGCTGTATTGCCCTGCTAGATGCCGGGCAGGACTTCGCTCAGCTGACCAGCATCCAGCCGTTGACTTGGTCAAGTCGGTAGCCGTTCTATAGCAGTGTGTGCTGTTATTGTGCCGTGCCCTGAAATTATTTGACTTCATGTTGGCTTAATTCGGCGAGCCGGTCACACGGGTAGCCAGTTCGGGCTTTGAAAGGCGGTTGTGAGGTGGAAGTTGCTGCGTATTGGTACGTGCTGCCCAGGATCAGAGGCGGCTTCTCCTTGGACTCGCTGAACCTTGGAGCGATGTTGTCGGGCGCCCAGAGGCAAGTACTGCAGGCTACCATGTACAAGACCTGCTGCTTGGTAAGAAGCAGAGTCGGAATGTAAGGGTCTAGCACATCGTGCAAAGGAAACCGAGAGTTAAGTTCCCAGAAAATACATGCCAAGCATCGACAGGTCCAGCGCCAGCAGCTTGCAGGTCCTGGCCCAGTTCTCAGCACACTCAGAAAGAAGCGTGTACAAGAGGTAATGATGCCTGACTGGATCAAGGTTTGCGCCGGTCCTACTTACTAGTTACCTCAGTTCACTCCAGGTCAGATTAGCAGGAATTCAGCGTTTGCAAGCAACATACAATACTGAGGACCTGAGTGGATCCGAATTTGGAGATGCTGATGCTCAGTCCGCCGGCTTAGCCGTCAATCACAGCCTAGTGTGAGCTCAGTAAGCACGCATTCGGCCAGCAGCGACAGTTTATGAGCATCTGCAGCGCACCTACCCGGCCCCATTTTCTTCAGAGTTCCATTTATGTTAAAAAGAAGATTATGAAAGCAGGATGCCGGGTCTCATCGAAGAATGCTCTACTCGCTGCCCACCACATTCTGAGCCACTGAACGTGCAGAGGGTCCTGGTGACTCCACACGACTTTCTTTGAAAGGCTTTTAGCTGCCGCAAATGTTGGGCCTCTTCCAGAGCTTCACCTCCTGGGCTTCAGGCCGGCTACGCAGAAATAAGACACATCTCAAGAGCGTTCAAACGAGCCAAGCTCTTGGTTGAAGCCAGGGGCTGCAAGTTGCAGTCGCCGGCAGCAGCTGCAGCGCTCGCAAGGCCATAATGCTACGAACACCGCAGGATAGGTGAGCAGTAAACGTGGAGTGGGTGAAAGACCTTTGTCAACAGACACACCGGTCGCTACGTTTCCAAGCTTTGCAGCTTCGGATCCCAGCAGCAGCTATTTTACCAATGGTGGCGTGACTCCGGGGGGCGCGCACATCACACATGTCGTGCTTCCAGTACTGCGATGCAGCTGTCAAGAGAATCGGCTAGAACTGGATGGCAAACTGTCAGGGCAGTGAACCACTTCGGAAGCATCAGGCACATCCGCATGCAGGCAGGATTGTGAATTTAAGTTGCCAATTGAGTTGTATGTTGTGATTCAGTTGCGATAGCATTTCGACTTCTCGAGGCCAACCGCTGGCGTGTCGAGGCCCACCGATCCTTTGCAGAGCACCTGCTCGAGTCCAGCGCACAGGCGGGCTCTAGCAACTCGTCAATTCATCCCGGCAGCCCATGTCTCTTTCTCTGAGACTGCAATCGGGCGGCCAGGCTTTGGTTTCCCTTGAGGCTGGATATTCGTCGCACGGGCAGCAGGGTCAGGCTGGCCCGGCTCCGCCTAACCCACAATGTGTCCAACAGGGCCATCTGCGGCTGCATGCGTCCCGCATGTCCATGTTTCATGTACAATCAGGTACCAAGATACGAATCGAAGCTCCAGAGCCAGCCGTCCTTGAAGCCACCTGGCAGGCCTTGCCATCTCAGAGTCGTCCACCGCGCACGGCAGACCCCAGTCCAGGCTCACAATGCTCACGCCTGCGAATCTCAGAAACTTCGGATACACAAGCAGAGGCGGTGGTGAGCTCACCTCGTCGTAGAAGTTGCAATGCAAAAAGGGGTGGCCGGAAGCTAGGGATGTTTCCAACTGCTGTGCCTTAGCGCTGGTTTTTGCCCGAACCTGGAGAGTGCAATGGCTCAGCTGCACAAATCCATTCACGGCGAAGGCACCCCGGCGGAGTCGTTGGCAGAGGAACTGGTGGAAGGCCATGCCGAAGAATGATGCTACAGTCTGCACAAGGCAGAAACAGCCCCACTAGCGCGGCACAGGATCTTCAGAAATAGGCTTGAAATAGGTCATCTGCAGACTGTACCCCTTGAGTTGAGGTGGGGATGCCCCTGGAACTGAGTCACGCTGGATACTCAGACCGAAATTGTGGAGCAACGTTAAGCATGCTTACTCAACATGAATATGTCCACCGGTTGTGTCGACCCCAGGTTCCGACAAGCTACACTTCCTCGCCCAGTTTGGAGCCAGTTCCTCAAGCAATCCAATCTTGCCTGGGTAGGACTACGCAAACTTAACGAGGCTTGTGTCACACTGACCTTCGCAGCTCCTTACCCAAGTAAAACAGTCATGAGAGCGAGCTGTGACTGTGAACCAGGTCGGGCTATGGTTATCAGCTGTTGCGTGCAGACTGGCCAGCGGTCTGCAGGAGCTGAGGCACAGGGGATGTCTCGGTTCGATACATCGGACAGTCCATGGTCTCCTGACGCCCCACTAAAAGCACAATTGCGTTTCCCTGTGGCGAGGCTGGAAAAACTGGATGTTGGAGCTCCTCCCTTAGAGCCAAGGTCCATGTCAGTCTCCATCTCGTCCAGCTTTCTCGTGGTGTTTGCCAGGCTCCGGACGGCTTGGAAACATACGTCGAACTCACGCAATCAGGTCGTTAAAATTTCTATCACTTAGTCCGACTTGTAGCACTGAAAGACCGCCAAGTACATCGAATGCCAGAGACAGGCTTTGGGGAAAGTAGAGCCGCACACGCACGTCACATGGCGCAGTCGCTGTGTTGCGCGTCGCGGCTGTCAGGTAACTGAGTCCGAGTGAGAGTGAGTGAGAGAGAGAGAGAGAGAGTCCAAGCCCAAGGCCGGAGACTCAGCTGTGTGATAACTTCCGAGTTGTGTCATGGCATTTCGAGTTAAGGGGGATTGTTTTCGAGTGCTTGAGTCAGTGCAGTGATGGCGACATGTGGGGGCACTTCCTTTGCTAGCAGTGTTTGGGGGGGTTTTGCCTGCAGTGTACTCCTTTTCCTTCAAAGCATCCCATGTGTCGTCAAGAGGGGGCAGCTGTACAGCCAAGCTCACGGGGGCGCAGCCCCCGCTGAGAGTTCAAATCCTGCCTAGACCAGCAGGTGCGCGTTCGCGTGCGGGGTGAGGGGTCCGACCAACCCCAAGCCCCAAGCCTGGTAGAGAGAGAGAGAGAGAGAGAGAGAGACCTGATGCGCTACATGTCTACAAAGCTCAGAGGAAGCTCCGACAGCTTCTCCCCTTCCTTGATGGCGAGATGAGGATGATGGGGGAAAGTGCCCTCAGCCACATCACAGAATGGATACAGCAGCACTGGGGGGAATCAGTCCAGCTCCTCATCAGCAGCGATGAGGAGACCCAGCACCTGGACCATGACCACCCGGTAATGAGGCCCCAACCGGAAGAGCAAACCGAAGGGGGAAATCGAAGCGCCTATCTCGGGGGCGACGTGGGGGAAACGCTCTTGGACCTGGCAAGCGGAGCGGCCAGTTCCACGGCACCCTTTACACGATCAGCCGCACCAAGTACTGAGGGGCAACCTGAGAGCAGCCAAGAAAGGCCAAAGGGGAGTAGAAGGCGCTCATTTACAAGCCCCAGCTCACTCGACAACGACGACTAGTGTCTAGCGGGGGCCTCTTAACCTATGTTGGCATTGCTACCCTCCTACTAGTACTGTCGGGGTCAGGGGCTGCACTGGAGCCCGGAGCACCACATAAGTCCACAACAGTGATTCTTGCCTAGGTTGCTTCTTCAGAGGGGGTGTTCGCAGTCGGTTTTCCCCACACAAAGGGCGGACAAGCGTAGTGCTCGGCAGCCCAGAGTAGAGTGCAGAGGCATCCGGGGGTGGGCAGGTGAAAGGTAGTGCTGCTGCGAGGTTCTGTTCGGGAGAAGGCGAGGAGGCAGGTAGGTTGGGTTAATCTGGTAGAGTCAGTTCGAAAGGGGGGCCAGAAGTCGGAGTGTTATATGCTTGTAGGCTACTTGTTGCTTTTTACTCCGTTGACGACTGGCACCCCACACCCCTTACAGAGTGGAGCTTTGTTAGGGGACAGACGTAGAATGCAGTGTGGATGACCCAGGGAGAGCACAGCGTGGGGGTGATACTATCTGGTCACGGTCTTAGCAGGGGTGTTTGTTGGGGGAGGGTTGACTGTGCTTACCTGGCGGGAACACACTTGCAAAACTCCAATACGGGGTGCCAGACGTGACAGTCGCGAACCGTTGAGGGGTAGGCCTTCGGGCCAGGGGTCTTTGACCCCATACCCCCAGCAAGCAAGCAAGCAAGAGAGAGAGAGAGAGACTGCTTCGCATTGCTTCGCATTGTACGCGTGTTTGTTTTGTACTGCCATCGGTTGGGGGACTCTTTCCTTTTATGGCCCTACAATGTGAAGCCAAGCCTCGGGGGGCAAACCTCCCACCAGGAAACTCAAGCCTGCCAAGGACTGCAGCTGCGCGTTCGCGTGCGGGGGGAGGGGCTTGACCTGCCCCGAACCCCATGGCTCGTAGAGAGAGAGAGAGAGAGA